GGCAGCAAAGTGAGCTGGTGTTTCCCGGGCGCACACTCACGCATCGTGGTCTGCAGCGTGGCCTCGGAGGGAGTGGGGTGGAGGCAGCAGCTGGCCCTGTGCATATGCCCATCCTGGTGGTGAGAGGCCCCAAGCTGCCCTGCAGGAGCAGGTGGCTGAGTGCCAGGCAGACGGTCCTGCCAGTGGGTGGAGGGGACGTGCGGAGGGACGATGGGGGGAGAGGCAGGTGCAGGAGAGCAGGGGCTGAGGTGGCGGAGTCCAGGGCGCGAGCTCCAGGGCCCAGCACAGGGCAGTGCGCCTCGTGGGGACCCTGGGTGCACCCTTGCAGCCGAGCGGTCCGTACTCAGGGAGCCGGGGCTGCAGGGCCCTCGTCCCCGAGATGTGGGGGAAGGACCGGTCGGCCGTCCTGCCCAGCCGCTGGGCCTGGGAAGGCAGATGACCATAGTGGACAGGCAGTGACCTACCGTGCGGACAGGGGAGGGGAGGTCAGGGCTGAGGGCCACCCAGTGGCTTTAGCTTCATGGGTTTCCCGTTGATGGAACGCAGTCCCCAGGGACTCCTCATCCTCGTGGTGATGCAGGACAGAGCGCGGGGGCTGGGGTGTCTGCTCCGCGGTGGCTCGCGCTGAAATGGTTTAGGAAACTCGCCACTTTCATTCCTGGAATTTTCCTTTGAAAGATTTTTAATATCATTACTGCTTTTTAGAGAGAGGAAGGGAGAGAGAACATTGATCGGCTGCCTCCTGCATGCGCCCCAACCAGAGATCGAAGCCCCAACCCAGACATGTGTCCAGGAATCGAACCTGCAACCCCTGGGGGTACGGGATGACGTTCCAGCCGACTGAGCGCCCGGCCAGGGCCGTAGCTTTAGTTTTGCTTTGAGAGAATCTCAGTTCCTTTTATTATAAAAGTGACTCCGTGGCGTTTTGAAGGGAAGGACGGGAACCTCGGCCCAGACAAGCAGCGTTCTCCGCGCCTGCTCACTCGCCTGCAAGTTCAGCTGCGGAGCCCTCAGCCCTTTGTTCTTTGTTCCACGTGGCAGGAAGCACGGCCTTCAGGGGGCGTCGTGCTCAGAACCGTGGTCGTGTCGGCAGGTTCCCTCCTCAGACCCTGTGACATTGGGAATGACCTTGACCTTCTGGCAGGAAGGCTGTGCACACTGACCCCGAGCACAGATGGCCCAGACACAGGCCTGGCTGTTGGCCTCAGGCAGGCAGAGCGGGCAGCAGGCAGCAGGCAGAGCAGGCAGAGGGGGCACAGCAGGCAGAGGGGGCACAGCGGGCACAGTGGGCAGAGCGGGCACAGCAGGCAGAGTGGGCACAGCAGGCAGAGTGGGCACAGCAGGCAGAGTGGGCACAGCAGGCAGAGTGGGCACAGCAGGCAGAGTGGGCACAGCAGGCAGAGTGGGCACAGCAGGCAGAGTGGGCACAGCAGGCAGAGTGGGCACAGCAGGCAGAGTGGGCACAGCAGGCAGAGTGGGCACAGCAGGCAGAGTGGGCACAGCAGGCAGAGTGGGCACAGCAGGCAGAGTGGGCACAGCAGGCAGAGTGGGCACAGCAGGCAGAGTGGGCACAGCAGGCAGAGTGGGCACAGCAGGCAGAGTGGGCACAGCAGGCAGAGTGGGCACAGCAGGCAGAGTGGGCACAGCAGGCAGAGTGGGCACAGCAGGCAGAGTGGGCACAGCAGGCAGAGTGGGCACAGCAGGCAGAGTGGGCACAGCAGGCAGAGTGGGCACAGCAGGCAGAGTGGGCACAGCAGGCAGAGTGGGCACAGCAGGCAGAGTGGGCACAGCAGGCAGAGTGGGCACAGCAGGCAGAGTGGGCACAGCAGGCAGAGTGGGCACAGCAGGCAGAGTGGGCACAGCAGGCAGAGTGGGCACAGCAGGCAGAGTGGGCACAGCAGGCAGAGTGGGCACAGCAGGCAGAGTGGGCACAGCAGGCAGAGTGGGCACAGCAGGCAGAGTGGGCACAGCAGGCAGAGTGGGCACAGCAGGCAGAGTGGGCACAGCAGGCAGAGTGGGCACAGCAGGCAGAGTGGGCACAGCAGGCAGAGTGGGCACAGCAGGCAGAGTGGGCACAGCAGGCAGAGTGGGCACAGCAGGCAGAGTGGGCACAGCAGGCAGAGTGGGCACAGCAGGCAGAGCGGGCACAGCAGGCAGAGGGGGCACAGCGGGCAGAGTGGGCACAGCGGGCAGAGTGGGCACAGCAGGCAGAGCAGGCAGGTCCAAGCCCCTCACTAGCATCAGGTTTCCCACTTCCCTGCGTCATCGTCGTGGGTCAGAGCTCGTCCCTGCTTAGTGCTGAGCAATATTCCGTGTGTGAACGGCCGTTGGTGATGGACAGTTGAGCTGTTGAACTTTCTGGCGACGGAATTGCGTGCGTGAACGCCCAGGCACGGGGTCTGTTTGGACACCTGCCTGCAGTTGTTCGTTCACGGCTGAGGAGCCGCCCGCAGATGTGAGGCGGCTGGAGGCCGGCCCCCGGGGGGCCGGGGGGTGGCTTCGTGTCCGGGTAGAGAGAGGAGCCCCTTAGGGCCCCGGGAGAACGACTCACTCACCTGATCAGGTGGGTGGAGGTCAGAGGTCAGGACAAGGGTGGCGGGGACAGGCCGGGAGCCACAGCTCCGACTTCCTACGAAAGCCGTGAGCGTCTCCCCGTGGACCCGGCACCATGGAGGGTTCTGGAAACCCCCTCGCGTTCCTAAGCGTGAAAACAAAGAGGAGGCCCGAAGGCGGGCGGCCCGGGGACCCCAGTCGCGCTGATTGCTCAGAGGTGCCGTGTGTGAGGAGGCCAGTAAGTCACGCGGTTGGGGGGCAGGAGATAAAGGAGAGATTCAAATGCGCGGGAGGAACGGGAGCCGGCCCAGCCCCGGTCAACGGCGTCCCAGCCCCTCACCGTGCGGGCCTTTCCGTCTGCGCCTTCCGTGATGGTTACGCGCGTAGGAGCGGGACATGGTGAGACTCCTCCCTCTCGGACACCTGTCCCCACCAACCAGGCAGCTCAGTGTTCCGGGGAGACGGGCTCCGTTCAGGAGGCAGGAGACTCGTACCCGGGCCTTCACCTCCCTGTGCCCGACCCTGGGCTCCCCCTCCCTGTGCCCCACCCTGGGCTCCCCCCTCCCTGTGCCCCACCCTGGGCTCCCCC